AATGAACATAACGTATGCACATACACATTTAAATATATACATAGCTTTCCCTATTTTTAATATCAACTTTGTAAGATAGAATTCCCACGTCATACAATTCACCCATTTAAAGTGTCTGATTCATGGTTTTTAGTGTTTGTGGAGTTGTGCACAATCTCTTCATTCCATTTTATTTTATTTTATTATTTAGAAATTTTTTCTAAAAAGATTTTTACTTATTTGACAGAGGGAGAGAGCACACAAGCAGGGGGAGCAGCGTGCAAAGGGAGAAGCAGGCTCCTCACTGAGCAAGGAACCCAACCCGGAACTCGATCCCAGGACCCCGGGATCCTGACCTGAGCTGAAGGCAGCTGCTTAACTGACTGAGCCACTCGGGCGCCCCCTCCCCAGTCAATTTTAGAAGGTTTTCATCACCTCAGAAAGAAACTCCAAGCCCGTCAGCAGAACCCCATTTCCCTCCCAACCCCCAGGCTTGGGTAAACACTCAGTTGGGATCCATTTCCCTTCATACTCCTCTTTTCCAGAATTTTCCTGGCTCTTCTTTTTACCCTTTAAAAAATTTTTCCTTCTCTGAGCTTTGGGATCAACTTGTCTAGATTCCCCCACAAAAAATCTGCCAGTATTTTATTGGATTTAATTAAATTGGTAGATTCATTTGGGAGCCTTGACATCAGTATGGAGGTTGAAGCTTTCTTGTCAGAAGCACGGCGTGCCTTCTTTTCGTTTACACAGTCTTCCGTTGGTTGCTTTTGGCGGGGGCAGGAGACAGCTGACCACCAAGAGCCCTCGCAGTTGGACTTCTAGCTGCCTGAGAGTGCCCACTCTGAGGGTGTGGGGACACCGGGTGTCCCAGCTGAGTCTCCTGCTCTCTTGTTGGAGGTTCTGGAATGTGCTGGACCTAGATTTGTGGGTCAGGTCACTCAGTGCTTCTGGCTTTCGTTTCTTTGATTCAATGATGCCTCGCTGGCTGGAGGCTCCAGTAAGACCATGGGTGTGATGCCTGGCACTGAGCGTGCCCATCGTGGTGGCTGCCATCACTGTCACCCCAGTGGAGCGATGATGCAAGAGGGCCACACGGGTTTGAGAGTCACATGTAGATGGTGGCCCATAGTGGGAGCAGTGCCCATGAATGGAGACCACAGGAGAAGAAACGGGGACACCTGACTTGGGTGTCCTGGGAAGGCTCATTGGGGAAATGGGAAAGCTGTGGCCCCATGGGGTGGTTGGGGCAGGGAGGCACCCTGGGGATCCGTCACTGGCACCCCAACTGCACCAGGCAAGTGGTAGAAATGGATATGCCTAGAGGCACATAATGAAGGAATTGCAGAGCTGAGGTCCGAACCCCATGTCTGGATGTCTGGACGCTACCTCAGTTTGTGGATATGAACGCTGCACCCCCCAACCCTTAAGGGTTTGTTTGGTTGTGTTCCTCTTGGTGGGGGAGGGCTAGGGCGAAAGACAACCCCCCCCACCCCCGCAAAGCTGGCCTGCTTAGCTCCAAAGCTCTGCTCCTGTCCCTTGTGTTTGCACCGGCGGCGCTCATTGGGAAACCTGCTTCTGACCAGCTGCTGAAAGGGCCTTTGAGTAAACAAATCCTCTGGCTATAGGATTACATTTCAGAGTACAAGAATCTTGAACGTCTCCTCTGTCCTGTTAGAAATGTGTGTTTTGGCTCCCGTGGAAGGATCCTTTGTCTTTCAGAACTTCTCTGGTCTTGCCTGTTCCTGTGAAACACAATGCAAACTTTTACTTAAAACCACCATTTGCTGTCCCTTCGTTGAGGCCACCTGCTTTAAAGGGACCTTGTTCCGGGAAGAAGAAACCATGTCAAGGGCCATGCTGGGGGCCAGGCTTCTTTCATTCCTGAATCTCCTTCTTTAGATGGAAGCTCCGGGCCCCACAGTTTTGGGGAGCTGCTCTCCTGCCCAGTCCCCTTCCCCACCCTGCCCCACTTCCAGTCCTGCGTATGTCTGGGTTATGAACTCAGGTCTGATTCTACACCTGGGCTCTAGAACCAAAGATTTGCCTTCTCAACTACGGAGAAGCTGCGTGTCCTCTGTGTAAATAGCTTAGTTGGCACCAGCAAGAGCTCAATTATTATGAACTAGTATTAATTTAAAAAGACAGGTTAGAGTGTCCACACGCAGAGAGGACAGAGCAGGACTGGGCGAGGTGATTTAGACTAGAGAGATGTCCATTTTCTGTTCTCTGGGGCAGGGTGGCCCTGTTCCCCAGCCCCAGGACCGTTCGAGGGTGCAGGAAAGGCTCATGGGCTGTTCAGAGGTTTCCCCACTGCTGAGCTGTACGCGGCTGCAGAAGGAGGGGTCGCCTTCTTCTCTGCTGAGGGCAGCACATTGTCCCATGTCAGGCAGTGATCGCCCACCCACCTGCCCGCCTGGGAGGGCGCTCGTCCGGGGAGGCTCTGCCGAGGAGTCTGAGTCTCTTTACCTTCTCTCAGGTCCCCGTGTCCCTCTTAACATGTCCGACAGTGGACAGTGACATGGCTCCTGTTTGTGAAGTTTTTGTGTCTCAGAGAGTCGATCATTTGAAATGTAATTTCTTCAGCTCATTAGGTCAAAACTGGCATTTAAAGCATGTATGAGGCCTTGCTAATGGCCTTTCACACTAGTCAGGGTTCTCTAGTGAAACAGGACCAAGAAGATAGAAAGATAGATGGAGACACACACACACACACACACACACACACACACACACGGAATGTATGTCGATATATAACCTGTGAATTATGTTATTACTACATTAATTAATCATTTGCATTAATACAATCGATAGATTAAAACACATTTTTTGAGTAATTGGCTCACGAGATGATGGAGGCTGACAGGTTCCAGGATCTGCCAGGTGAATGTGCAAACTAGAGGCCCAAGAGCTTATGATGGCGTAAGTTCCCATCCCAAGGCTGGCAGGCCTGAGACCCAAGAATAGTTAATGTTTCAGTTTAAGTCTAAAGGTAGGGAAGAAACAAAAAACAACGTCCCAAGTCAAAGGCAGTCGGGCAGGAGGAAGTCTCTTACTTGTGGGAGGATCAGTCTTTATTTTCTGGGCAGGACTTCAGCTGATTGGACGAGGCCCACCACACTGAGGAGGGCAGTCTGCTTTACTTAGTCCGCCAATTTGAATGTTAGTCTCATCCAGAATTACCCTCACAGACACACCCAGAAATAATGTTGATGAAATGTCTAGACACCCCGTGGCCCAGTCAAGTTGACATATTATTACATACATACAATTAACCGTTATACCTCTGATGTAATCTTGGGGTATAAAATTCTTTTCTGAGATCATGTGGTTGGAATGGTTGGCATCAAAGCAAGTAGGCACGACATTCTAGAGCCTGGCGGTATCTCCCAGCTTGTCCCTTGGGTAACTGTTTAAGGGACCTGTTTTAAATTAAACAGGTTAATTTTCTCATGACAATACTCTAAACAATCAGGAAGAAGGAAGGTGATTTTTTGGGTAATAATGATCCTGAGAAACAGTTACCAATAGCCCTGCGACTCCTTAGCCTGAAACCATTTCGGGGTGTCTCTTTGGGCGTCCACATGGGGCTTCCTCAAGCCCTCAGGTCACGGGACGGTCCTTTTCTACCAGAGAACCCTGAGGAGCAGGTATTATGGATTACCAAAGGTGCTTTGTGCCAAAGACACAGATACACATGCAGATAAATATATGTATTTTCTCATGTAAACGACACTTTTCATGCTTTTGGTAGAGCACACTAGGTAAGACAACAATTTGCTGTAGCAGAGAAATTATGAAAAACCTGAAAGTGAGCCTCTCTCCTTTCATCATTGTACAAACTGACCGAAGATTTCTGTGCGCTGGGGACCGAGAGATCGTGTGTGTGTCTTGGACCTGGTCCTCACCTGGGAGCAGCTTACCGTCTGCAGGAGCATAGGATCCTTCAGGGCCCCATTGATGATTTTTTTGGGGGGTGGGTAGGAGGGGCTTGGTTTCTTATAGTATCAGCTATACTCAAAAAGGAGGAGGGACAGCATAGACTACGAGGCATTTGGGAAAACGTTCAAGATCGTGGAGAAATAAATGCAAAGAGCGTTGGTAGTCATGATAATGGTATTATTCCCAGCGGCGTCATAAACTTTCAGCCAGGCCCAGATGAATATTATATCCTACGTGCAGTGTGACTAATGCTGGAGACTGAAGGCCTTGTCTTAGCACTTTCCCTGTGGCCCACAGTGACCCTTTACCATCCCGGAGGTAGACGCTTAGCGTTATAACTCACTGTCCTCATAAATCCTCATGGTGGAAACAGTATCGGCTTGTTTTTACAAGTCCTTGTCGTCTGAGAGAGGCTGTGGCACTTCTCTTTATTATTATCACTAACAGTAATTTCTGCTGAGAGCCTCCTGTGTGTAGGTTCCTTATACACACCGTCTCATTTAATCCTCTCTTGCCTGGGAGGGACAAATACGGTCCTTATCCTGTTGTATTTAGGAGGACGTGGAGGCTTTGGGATCGCTGGCTTGCCTGTGATCACAGAGGTTGAGGGTACCCGAGCCCCACCCCGATCCCACCTGGGTGGCCCATGGGTGCTGCTCTCGATGCCACCTGTGCTGGGAGCAGTGATGCGAGGATACAGCGGGGGCAGGTTAGGGGTGAGGGAGCAAGGGGGCGAGAGGACAGGTGTGTCACGCCCGTGCAGACGCTGTGCTGGATCCTGTCTTCCGTGAGCGTTTCAATCTTCTGCTCATCGCAGATGTTCTTTGCATGTTTTACCCTTTAAAAAAAATACCGCACTGGGGTCTTATTTCTCTCGATGACTGGGCTTTGCAGTGCTCAGGGCAGGCAGGATCCTCTCCCGTTTGTGGCTGAGGACCCGGAGGGCTAGCGTTGTCAGAAGTCGGTAGAGGACGGGGCAGGGATATTCGCCGGGGCTTCTGGGAGCCGGGCGGGAGGTGGCAGCGTGACTTACCTGTGGGGGTCCTAGCGTTCTCAGCAACGTGCCTGTCTTCTTCCAGGTCGGGAAAGAGGTTGAAGAAGACCCGCAAGTACGACATCATCACTACTCCCGCCGAGCGCGTGGAGATGGCTCCGCTGAACGAGGAGGACGACGAGGACGAGGACTCCACAGTATTTGACATCAAATACAGGTATGGGCTGGGGACAGCAGCTCCCCCCAGGGCTCTCGGGGCTTGGGGTGGCAGGGCGGTTCACCTTGGAAAACAACGCGAGGCCAGGTGTGGCGTCCACGTGTCCTTGTTCTTTGGTGGCGTGTCTTGACTTCGGGATGTTCTGCTACGGAGGGAACCGCTTGGATCCCTTCTGAGAACGCACGGCCCCCAGAAAGCCAGCAGAGGGAGGACTCCGGAGCAGCGGTTACTCCCACATCCCCCCGATGCGGACGCAGGAGAAGCGTGGTCTGCGTGAAGGGCTGAACGTCAGACAGCGGGATTGTCCCGCACTGCCGGGGCGGGGGGCCGTGTCCGAGCAGCCGCAGACGCCACACGGGGTGCACACAAAAGGGCACTTCTCTTTCAGCCTCACCAACACTCCTAACTGAGAGCATGGGGTGGGGTGGGGGTTACTCCTTGGGTGGAATTTGCCGATGAGCTCCAGAGGCCGGGGTGTGACCTGAAGGCGGCCCCGTGGGAAAGTCAGAAGGCCTTTGTGACTTTAGGGCTGTAGTTTGGTTTTTGGATCCTTTTGGATGGTCCCTCGGATCACTGTAAGGCTGGGGAAAGCGTTGTTTAGAGATGAGGACTTAAAGCCTCAGAGAAGAGGAAGCTGTTTGCCCAAAGTTCCAGTTATTACCAGCAAAAGGGAGCCACAGGTCTGGGCTGGACCCCACCCTGAGCCCTCCCTGCCAGAGTTCTCCAGAGAAACAGAACCAACAGAAAGATTTATTTTCAAGGTCTAAGTCTGACGGTCTAAGAACCAGGGGAGTCAGTGGTGTGCGTCACGGTCCTGGTGTAGGAGACGACCAGCGTCCCAGCTTGAAAAGTCCGCGAGGAGAGTGACTTCCCTCCTACCCCACCCCCATCAGAGAGGGCAATCTGCTTCACTTGGCCTACTGCCAAAATTGTCACTCTCCCCCAGAAACGCCTTCCCAGACACACCCAGGACAGCGTTTGACCAAATATCTGGGCACGCTGTGACTCGGTCAAGGTGACACGTAAGCTTCTCCATCCTTGAGAAGGCAAGTCTCCCCCACCTCTCCTGACTAGTTCTTTATCAGCACAGCCCTGGCCATTCTTGGCCCTTCTGTATAAATCACTTGTCAGAATCAACAAAACCAAGTTTGGGGTTTTGACTCCGTGTATCAGCTTAAGGGGAATCAACCCCTTTATGAGAACCCTTCCAATCTATGAATGTGGGTCGACTTTCCATTTATTTAGCTATTTAAAAAAATGTCTTTCAGTACTTTCAAAAATTTCTCCATAAATGTTCTATAAGTTTTTGTTAGTTATATTCCCAGATATATTAGATATATCCCCCAATATATATATATTTATTATATATCTGCAAGTGTAAATTTATATGTGTATATTTTTAACCTAAAAATACTGTTTTAGCATCATGTCTGAAAAAATGGCTGCGTGATCATGTTTATACACATACTACTATTAGAGTTTGTTAATGAATCACACCTCAATCTTACTAAGAACACGTAAATGTTAAAACGTGGATTGCTTATTGTAGATAGCTGAGCAAACCATTAGCTATAATTTGCACGTTCATGTTAGGCAAGTAGCCCCCTTGGAGTAGAATCAGAACAATTGGTGAAATTCATCCGTACAACGGCGTAACACACACGAGAAAGTTAGTGATTGTGCTGGTTTTATTGCTTAGCCATTTTATGTGTCTCACATCAAATGCACAGAAATAAAACATAATGTGAAGAAAACTATGTCCTCATTTTGAGTCACCATGAAAAATATCTGCTGCGTCCTACAGGCTGGGGAGTATTATACCATGGGGAGCCCTTGAGAATCTTACATGAGTCAATGTACTGTTTTGATTCCGAGACACTAAATAAAATCCCATCCGTATTTAGTGACTGAACCCACGGTGGAAGCCACAGACCTCACGAGACAGGAAAAGACCGTACCAGAGAAATACAATAGTCAGCCTGTCCAGATGTCCTATCTTTAGACTCGTACTTTGGCGTGAGGTGGAGAAGGGGGCCCTTTTGGGGTACGCGGATACACGTGTTACTCTGGTCCGAAGACCACTGGGTTGACATTGTGTCTGGTGTTGTTGGAAAGAAGGTACATATTGAAACCACTGTCAGATTAAGAAAATTCCACAGCTCGTCTTAGTTCTTCAGACACTGGAGCAGGCACCTTTCCTGGGCTGACGGTTTGTGCTGTATGGATGCTGGTACTCTGGTAGAAATTTTCAGATACGCTGTGTAAGGTGGCAGAAGCCGTCACACCATCATTCAGTCTCCAGTACTCATTTATTTCTTAACTGGAAGTTTGTACCTTTGGGGCGTCTTCACCCAAGTCCCCCCCCCCCCACTCTCTGCCCCGGGTAGTTACCAATCTGACCCTTTTCTGTGAGGTTTTTTTTTTTTTTTTTTTGAGATTCCTTACATGAGTAAGGTCATGTGGTACTAGTCTTTCACTGTCCGGCTTATTTCACTTAGTGTAATGGCCTAAAGGTCCATCCCTATTGTTGAAAATGGCAGGATTCCTTCTGTTTTATGCCCAATAATATTCCATTGTGTGTGTATATCCCATTTTCTTGGGTCTGTTCATCTGCCAACGGACGCTTTGATGTTCGCCATGTCTTGGCCACGGTCGAGCCATAATGCCGTGGTGAAGGCAGGGAGGCGGTGATCTCTTCAACCTAGTGATTTTGTTTCTAGAAGCAAATGATTACGTTGAACCACCTGTCAGTGTTCCCCAGGTGAATGGGCACTCGTCCTCCATCTCGCACAGCAGTAGCACGGAGCCCCTCAACGCACGGTAATTTTTATTTTTATTTGTTTATTTATTTTAAAGATTTTATTTATCCATTTGAGAGACGGAGCGTGAGCAGGGGCAGAGGCAGAGGGAGAAGCAGATGCCCCACCGAGCAGGGAGCCCAGCGTGGGGCTCCATCTCAGGACCCCGGGATAATGACCCGAGTGGAAGACAGATGCTTAACCGACTGAGCCACCCAGGGACCCTGCATGGTAGTTTTTCATACAGGCATTACTTTAAGCCCCTCAGGCACGCTGATGTCTCCAGAGGTTTTAGCAGCAGTGCAGACAGCAATGGGCTCAAGAGCTGAGAGCTGTTCGCGACCAGGAAGGGCAGGGGGTGGGGGGAGACGAACTTGGCGACATGTCCCTTTCCAGGGCTGAGGGATGGCAGGAGAGCTGCTCCCTGAGCAGAGAAGGCAGAGGGGTCTGGGGGCTCTGCCTCCCTTCCTTAAGCTTCCTTTGGGTGTGTTTCCAGTGTCTTCCATCGAGTATTTTAGAAAATCGAGTATTTAGCTCTTATTTTCAGCGTACTTTTCTGGTGTCAGCCTTTCGGCTGCCCGCCACAGGCTTTCCTTACTGCCGGGCGCCCCCCGGCCTCCGTGTCTGTTCAACTTCAAGTAGCTCCTGGTGGACTTTTCCGTTGTTTGTGGGTTGAAATGCTATCAGGATGCGAGTGAATTTGGAGTCGGGTCACGAGATGCAAGACTGCTCCAGTCCTCAGGCCCAAAGGCGACTGACTATTTAGGAAGACGGAACAACAGCTCTCTTGAGTACAAGTGTAACGTATGCTGTGGACAGTACAGCTAAGAGAAAGGAAAAATATAATTGCCTGTAATCTCACTGCTTAACGGTAACCACTAGAGTGTGTATGAGTACATATCTGTGAATATTCTTTTCTTTCTTGTTCTTTCTCAATAGAAGTAGGACTGTGTAACACATGCTGCTTTGGAATCGTTTTCCACCTGAATGACGCAGTCCGAACAACTTTATAGGTCAATAAGTTTGAAAGAACGAGAGTTTTAAGATCCGTTTTATGTTTGGTTTAGTGTTTTGGGGAACTTCCTTGTCCGCACCTGACAATCCGTTCCCGGGCACTTTGTCTTTCCTCTTTAGACGTCGCTCAGCTAAATATCGGGGTTCCCTCTGGGGAACGATGTGGCTGAATTGGGACCCTGGGTTGCGTTTTGAGTGAACACAGAGAGGAAAGCTGTATTCTGGGCGTCAGGGCAGTGAGGTGGTAACTCGCTAAGTTCATACTGTGGCGAGGGCATTTCTTTGATAACACTTTGTGACTTAGAGCCTGGACGCATCAGCCAGGCAGGAGATGGGGGGAAGGTGGGCAGGGCGAGGCGTCTGTGCAGAGTCCCCTTTTTAGGGCTCTGATGCAGCTGGGGTGCTCTAATCCGTGAGGTAAGACCTCTGCGCTTTAGGGCCCGATGTGGTGGGGGCTGGGGGGGGGAGGGCAACAGAGTCCGTAGAAATGAATTTCTAGCTCTGTCCTTAAAAAGGCTAATTAGAGGAAAGCAATGATGGCTTCGCGGATTACAGGGAACCGTGGGATTTTGGAACGACTCCGTATTTCACAAAGCTTTCTGAGTCCCGGGTGTTTGTGCTTTGAGCTGGGCTGGCCCAGTGTGCGGCTGTGGTTGGTGTTTGGGTGTCTGTGCACACCCACTTTATTACGGGAGACTTCCGTGATCCCCTCTAGGCGTTTCCCCAACAGGAGGCCCGTGTCCGTTCGTGGGCAGTACCGGGGGCTGTCACACCGGCAGCCTGAAGGTAGGCTGCTGGGAGCCCGGGAGCCACGGTATTCCCCCCCACCCTGTGTCCCGGCCCTGTCCCTCTGCCTCTCAGGTTCAGACGGGCTGTGGCCTCTGGGAATATACCGTCACGCATTCTAGAAATGCCTGCCTCCCGCCCTCTCCGGGGTAGAGCTTCCTGTGGGACTCTCATGAGAGAGGCCTGGCCTCTTGTCTTTGGAACAAGGGTGTTGGGTGGCTGTTTGCAGCAGGAGGTGAGAAAACAGATTGACTCGCTTGTCCTAGATGTGGCCCCAGGGCTCATAGTCCCCAGGGACACCCTGTGGCGGCTGCTGAGTGCACTGGGCACAGCGACTTCTGAAAGGCTGGGCTCAGAAGGCCCTTCTGCCTGTCCCGTGCTTCCTCGTCTTCTGGAAAGAAGGTTCTAGAGTAAGAAACAAAGCTGTTGGGAGCACCAACCTGTGGACAGACGCGGAGGCAATGGGCATTGTGAGCTTCTGAGGCCCGGAAGGAGTCGTTGACGGGCAGGGCCCCGCTCCCCGGAGATGCTGGAGTAGCCCACGTGCCCCTGAAACGGTAGGAGGGTCCTCCCCGGAGCCCTGGGGATGAAGCTTACCCGCCCTCCTCCTTACAGGGCGCCGAGCTTGTGTGTGTGCAATGGGCATGTCGTGAGACCTTTTTATTTCCCTGAGAAGTATCGGCCATGCGGGGTCCGTTCTCGATAAGGTATCGTGCACCTGAAAACTCTCTGAGTTTCGTGTCCATGAGGGGAGAACCTACACAGACGGGAATTTGCGTGGGAATGAAAATTTACCACTGGGTGAATGCAACTTACTCAGGTTCCCGCCTACACACACACACACACACACACACACACGCAGAGTTTATAGAGCTACAGAAGAATCAGGCAAAAAGGAAAGAAAACCCAAAAAACAAAACCCAGCACAAATAATCATAAAAACGCTTTTGTAAAAGCTAGCCATGTCATCCCGTGCGTCCTTTGTGTTCCGTGTCCTGGGATGAAGGCCACAGGAGTGCTGACAGGCAGTGGCGAGCCTCACGTCCGTCTGTCTCACACGCACTCGCAGACAGGGCCTCGCTTCCTCCCTCCCTCCCTCGGCTTCTGTGTTCTTTATTCCTGGGGCCCGCGTGCCCTTTTCCCGAGGCGTCCTTCACCACTGCATGGAGAGGTCAGCTGCCAGGGCGCTGGACAGGTGCAGAGACAGGTGCTTCCGTGGCTTTGTGCTGACAGACAAAGCATGGGGCAGCGACAGGTTGGGACACGTCCCTCTCCTTCTCTGCGATGGTTATGACCCAGTGTCGCTGGATAGGACATTTGGAGATTTGAAAGGAATAAGCACAGAGCGTGGAACCTAGATGTGTCTTCTCCTCTCAGGGAACTTCCAAGGGGGGAGACGGGGAAGGCTCAGCGTGGAGACAATTTCAGGTTTATCTTCATGACAACAGGAGTGTCGTTAGCAGTTTGGCTATTCTGGGGGGGGGTGGGGAGAACGAGGCTCGAGAGTCCTTTCAGAAATCTCTGCCTACGCTCTCACTGAGGGCGGAAGGCTGAGCCTGACCTGCCTCCCGGAGCTCGGAGCTCGTGCAGAGACGGAGACAGCCAGGAGCATGGACACTTACCAGGCAGCCTGAGAACCGCAGGGGAGGAAAGTGGAGTGCTGTGGACAGCCAGGAGGGGTGGCTCTCCTGGGCAGGAAGCTCTTCCCAAAGGAGGTGAAGCCCATGACTGGTTTGAAAGGAAGCGCCCCAAAGTCGGTGAAGGGGCAGGGAGGGGGGAGGGCGTTGTAGGGGGAGTTGATGGCTTGTGCGAGTTTGAGTGATTAGAGGGAGAACCAGGTGGCCTGTGGCTGTGAGCCTCTGCCCACCCCCCAGAGCCCTTCTGAGGAGAACCTCAAAGCTGCATGAGCTTGGGGAGGCAGCAAGAGGAAATGAGGAGACCTAGGGTCCGTGTCCGTGGTCCCCTGAAACTTCCTGAGTCATAGTGTCACCAGAGCGTCTGAAGCCAGCCGGACTGCTCAGACTGGCCATGGGGCTCCCTTCCTCTAGAGAGGTGGAAGGAGCTGGTGCCCCCCGGGGGCGATTGCACGAGCCCAGATCGAGCGGAAGCTCTGTTTTCCCCATTTGTGCCGAGCGTGGTGATTCATGGGGGTCCGCCGTGTCCTCCCTGTTCCACGCCACCCTTCGTGTGTGTTTATTCTGTAGAAGCACACGGGTGTGCACAACTGCCCGGGGGAATGGGCGCCGTAGAGGTCGTGGCGGAGGACCCTGGGACATGTTCCTGTAGCATCGCCAAGTGGTGCTGCCACTAGATCAGCAATGTCGACATGCCCATTCTTGGTTTGGTCTTTGAGAGCTTTGAAAGCTCTCTGTCCCCAGGCCCCCTGCCCGCCGTCCTCAACATGGAGCCTGCAGGGGATGCAGCCGGACTGGTGGGGGTAGGGGGTGGGCAGGCCAGGTTTGAACACTTGAGGTCTGGCAGTCTGCATCTGTAGAGTGGGGGCAGTGCCTGGGCTCCGTGGATGTCAGTCGGCGGGGGTGAGCCCCCCACTCCCGAGCCCGGCGGAAGGAGCACATGGGAAACCCACCCCACACAGGACACGGCTGGGGTGGTTGTCTTTCTCGTCCTCTGGTCTTTTGAGGAGGACACCCTAGCGGCCAATTGGAGGATGCCCCTATGTATTTGGGTTTTTTCCTTGAAAGGAGTTTTTACTTGGATGTCATTTCAAACTTAAAAAAAGTTGCGAAAACAAAAATAGTATACTCTTCCCCCAGATTTTCCTGGTTTAACATTTTGCCTCATTTGCCTGATGGCCCTGTGTTTGTGCCCACGGATTGTTTTTGTTTTTGTTTTCTGAACTCTTTGAGGGTAAGCTACATGTATCATGTCCCTTTCCAGCAAGTACTTTGGTGTATATTTCCTAAAAATACAATGTTCGTGTCCTTTAGAAAGTAGTTGCCTGATAATGATAATATTTGTATTGGGGGATCATGTAACATCTTGAAAAGAAGTTCATTACTTTATAACTCTGTTAAGTCCCCACTGTTTTTGCATGTGTGATTTTGTGATGCCTGTGAGCAAAGATGAAGACAGGACAGCGATGGCTCTGACCTCGCGGATTTTCTCTCCTTTCCTGAGTCTCTTTGGATGATGTCTTGAATGGATTTAGTTTTCAAACTTTCTTGCGCTCACTGCACAAATGTTCCTTGTAACACCCGCGTTGCCCGGTACCATGTGCTTGGTGCTGGGGGTTTAAAGATGAGTGAGCTCAGACAAGGGTTTTGCCTTCAAGGAGCTCCCAGCCTAAGCTAGAGCCGGATGTGAATCAGATAATGACATAAACCAGGGATCTGCAAACTCTGGTCCGTGGGTCCAATCTGGCTGTCAGCCTGCTTTTGTATGGCCCAGAATGATTTTCACATTTTTAGTGGTTGCCCTGGTGTCGGAAGCAGGGATACAAGGCCAAAAGAAGCTGTGTACTAGGGAGTCTGCCTGGGGACCTGGGATCCTGAGATCCTGAGATCCTGAGATCCTGGGACCTGAAAGGAAAGGAGGAGTTACTTTCCAGACAGTATGTTCAAAGGTCCTGTGGTTGGCAAATATGGCCTGCAGGATGGAGGCTGTTAGGGTCAGAATCGATGCAGGTTTCTGCCGAGGGCACTGACTGGTTCTCCCTTTTCTTTCAGGTAAAATCTGTTTGCAGCATGTTGGCATCCTGTGGATCAGTCAGCTGCCGCCTGGGGTGTGAAGCATCCGGAAACTGTCTCTTCTGAGGTGTTGAGACCGAAACAAACATTGTTGATGAAACTCTGGCACCGCTGCGTGTGTCCAGCGTCGGTTCAGATTGTCACCACAGCAGAGTCGCCTCTACCACCTTCTGGACGCCCCTTTAAAATCTCACCCTTTCCTCCTCAAGAGGGCTTTTGCCTTGCTCAGGGGCAGGCGTAGAAACATTTTGACTTAAAAAAAAAAATTTAAGGTAACTGTTGACAAAAGTAAAGGGTAAAGATCAGAAGTTAACAGGAACCCGAAAACGCAAAAGCCTGAAGGATACTCAGCTTATAATCTCTGACATTCTGCTCTCCTGGATCTACAACATTCAGACATCTGCCCTTTTGGTGATCTTTTGGGTTTGGTCAGATTCTGGCCTGCTTTTGGCGATGGCTGTGCGAAAATTCAGAGTTGAAATGTTGAGAGCTAGGCAGCCCTAGCAGAAGTACAACTGGTGTTTCTGGCTCCTTTTCTTCCGTTTTTTTTTTTAAAGGGGTTCAGGGGAATCAGGCATACCTAATTCGCAAAGAATTTTGAGTATCGGGAAAAACCTGCCCATATGCGCGTATACAGGTGTGTGCATGGGAGTGTGTGTGCGTGTGTGTGTGTGTGTGTGTGTGTGCATGTAGAATCATTTCTCCTTTTCTGGTGGTGGTTGGGGGGGATGACACAGTACAAGGCAGCCTTTGGTTAGGAATGTCCTCTGTGTGTTTCTCTGCCCTGTTCTACACTGTCGCTCTTGGAAATGGAATTTTAAAAAATCACTGTGGTGATTCAGATGAACGGGTATCGGGTTGGCTCGAAAAGGCACGGCGTCCGGGATGGGTTTGGGGTCCGGGCCAGATGGAGTGGAAAGCCTGTGGGACCCAGCAGGTTGCCTCAGTAGGGGCCCTCCCGAAGGTGTGGGTTGGGGGTTGTGTGGGGCGGGGGCGGGACGTTGGGGTGGGGGTGGCTTGTTTCTGAGCTTGCGTGCCCAGATGTCTGCTGGCTTCCAGAAGCGGGACTGACTTCTTGGGCTGGGGGTCGAGATGATCTGCTACAACCAGGCAGCTTCTGCTAAACCTCTGTTGTCAGTGACCTTCAAGCCCTGGGGCTCTGTTCTTTCTGGAGACGAGTTTTGCTTTTCTTTCTTTTTTAATCCCCTCTTTTCTGACTTTCTGCACGGTTTCTGCATTTGCCTGCGGATGCCTGCACCGTGGGCTTTGGATGAAAACTCCACAGCCTTTTCTGACTCGCCTGTTCTCAGATTGGTCAGTTTCCTAGAAGGGCAGTCAGTGGTGCAGGGCCTGTGGGGTCCCTGGGGTCCCTGGGTGCCCAAAGCCCTGCCTGTTGGGAAGACACGCTGGCCTCTTCAGGAAAGCGGGGTGTTCCCCTGGGAGACGGCTCTGAGAGGGGTGCAGTGCCGAGCTGGCCTGTATGAGCCCCTGTCCCTCTGCTCCCTCCTGGCTCACGGGTTGGGTCATTTTTCCTTCTGCCCTCCTCCGCCCTGTTTGTCCAAGGGGCGGGCCTGCTTTACCTCTCCCCTCCACAGGGTGCTCATGGGCCAGAGCGGTGACTCAGCGGGACCGGCCGCCTGGGGGCTGGGTGCCCTCCGAAACTTGGAACAGGAATTGTGTGTGACAAAGCCAGGTGCTTCCTCCTTACACAGCAGCATCCGACGCACCTGCCATGTGCTTTCCTCTGGGCCTGGCAGACGTGGCCGCCACCAAGAGTGACCTTCCAAATCCCGGGGATTCAGCCCGCGGGCTCTTAAACCCTTTGGGCGCGACCCATGTGTGCCTGGGTTGGGTTGTCCTGAGGAGGCACCAGCAAGGCACCGTTCCGTGGTCGGGGGTGCGGGCGCACGGCTGGGAGGAGTGCCGGCATGGGGTCCCGGGGACGGGGCTTGGCCCTGGTGGTTCAGAGGACAGTTTAGGAATGCGGTGGGGCTGGCGGAGAGGGGGGCAAGGGCTGGACGTTTCCCTAGGCTTGCGTGGGTGCACCTGGCCATTTCCTGGAGGGTGCCGCTCGGGCCAGGAAGTACTGAGCCTTCATCGTGCTTGGAGCATCTTGGGGTGTCTCCAGAGGAGAGAGAACCAGTGGTGTCCTAAAGCTGCCTTCTTGTTGCTTCCTACCTCCCTGGCTTGGCTTCAGCTTGTGAGGAGCAGGAACGGGTGGAGTAGGGAGCTGGGTTGGCTCGCCAGCTGGGGAGGGAATTCGAGGAAGGAAATCTCGTTTGCTTCCATCCTAACGCGCTGTCCTTGGAAGTTATGGAGGAGGCATGCTCTGCCTTCCTCTCCCCAGAGCAGCAGCTCCGGCTCACTTCTCTCGCAGCTGGGATCGTCAGGACTGGGGTGGCGGAGGGAGGAAGCCAGCCCCCAGGGGAAGGTCCCATCAGCTAGGGTCTCCTGTGGGGCAGGGTCCTTCGGACACTCAGGGAGGGGCCTGCCTGGTGGGGGAGAGGAAGCGTGTTCCGGAGTCAGCGGGGGTCCGCAGGAGTTGGCCCATACTGCACCTTGCTTTTTATTTGGGGGGATGCCTTTGGGGATCAACCCCCACCATGCCCCCCGCAACACAGAGAAAACCTGTCTTTCCTGGTGTAGGACCAGGTAGGACCTAGGAGAGCTTGAAGGGGAAGGGCGATTCATAGCATCAAAGCCCTTCCCGCTGCTGCGGCCCACACAGCGCGGGGGTGGGGGACAGGCTCGTGTGTTGATGCAAAAGGGCTTTTTATAAGGAATTGGCCACTGTCCCTGAAAGTATTATCTTCCCTCCGTGCCCCCTTCAGTGGGAGTCCTGTGTTTGGATACCATGTAAGTGGAAGCAGAGGGAGATGACCCAGAGAAACAAGGTTGGAGAAATGGGATAGCAGTGGCCCAGGCCTGCTGGCGAGATGGTGGCAACCACTCCAGCTGATTAGAGAGGCACCCTTTCCTGGAGAGGGAAGAGAAGGGAGGGGAGGAGAGGGGAGGGGTTGGTAGGGAATAGGAGGGAAGGAGAGAAGAGGGGAAGGGAGGGGTAGGGGAGGGTTTAGAGGGGAGAAGGGGAGGGAAGAGAACTCAGCACAGGAGGATGCTAGTACGGGGTGGGGGTGTGAGGTCTCTGAGGACTCCGTGCTGCCTCCCTATAGGGTCCCCTGCAGCCCCCTGCCCCCTGCTTCCCAGAGCAGAGTTTGCGGGACCCGGTGTTGCTTGCATTTTTCACCATTAACGGTCTCCTGGGTCTTCTGAGGGTATTGGGGTTAGGTCTTGTCTTCGACAATTAAGTGGTTTCATCCTTTGAGGGTGAGGGGCGAGTGGGCTCCGGGGTGGGGGAGGGGTCTGTTGCAACCTGCCAGTGTAGAGAAAGGGTCTGCCCCAGCAAGTCTCCCGGATGGCCCCCGTGGAGACAGGTGGGCGCCAGGGCTGGCCTTGGTCCTGGCAGTGCTGGCGTCTTGAAACGTTCTCGTGGTTTGTATTTATGAATGGAACCCAGAACATGTGGACCCGAGTGCGCACAGCACACAGCTTGTGGAAACGGTTTATTTTGCATTATTTATTTATTTGAGGGGGTGGAGGGGCAGAGAGAGAGAGAGAGAGAGAGAGAGAATATCTGAAGCCCAGTGCAGAGCCTGATGCAGGTCCTGATCTCATGACCCTGAGATCATGACCTGAGCCGAAATCAAGAGTGGGACATTTAACCAACTGAGCCACACAGGCACACCTATTTATTTGCATTGTTTTTGGGAACCAGACAGAACGTTAATGAGGAGGTCATGAGCCACACCCTGGATCGCTGCTTGACTCTTTGGTCCACCAAGCACCTGGGCGTGCGTCTGCTTCGAAAGTGCACTCAGAATGTGCTGAGGCCAGAGAGACTGTGTGTAGGGTTGGTTGGCTTATCATCGAGCTCATTTCTCCTGGGGATGCGTTTTCCAGGAGCTACGTTGGCATGATGGGAACGCAGGGAGCTCTAGCGTGTTGGCAAAGCAGGGGTCCCAGAGCCTAGGCTGGCTGGAACATCTGACCGTGAACCTGTGCTGTCCTGGGAGCTGCAGGCAGGTAGGAGTGTGGGGACTTTGCCTCAGCGTCTGTGGGAAAACCAGCTGGGGTGCCAAGCCCCGCAGGAAGAAGAATCTGGGGGCAGCCAGACCCACGTGGGATTCCTGGCCTGGCGGCTGACAAGCTGTGTGAGGCTGGCCCCACTCCTCCCACGGCCGGATGGGAGCAAGCCGACATCTTCTATTATTGTGATCCTTAAAACGGATAATCCAGCAAAGCACACACTGCATGGGCCTGGCACAGAGGCACTTGGGAAATTGTCACCACTGCACCATGACTTCAGTCCCTCCTGTGGGCTAAGAGTGTGTGCACCCAGGCTCTGGTTCTGCCCCTTGGGAGAGCCCTTTCTGTGGGCGGCAGTCCTGGAGCTGCCTCGGGGTTCTGCTGTCATTTCCATGGGCCCTGGGCTGTCCCCAACCAGAGCCGCACCTCCTCCCTGACTCCCCGTAGGAAGACTGTGGGCCCAGCCCTTTCACAGCTGCGAGTCCCACCAACTACGAGGGGAGGCTGGTGAAAGTCTTCTTGCTCTCCCTGGAGGCATGGGACCGGGATGGTTTTGTCTCTGTGCAGGGTCAGCTGGTTGAAAGGGGCAGGTCTTGGGCCTCGAGTCTCCTGCCCTCTCCAGCACTTACCCCTGAAGAAAGGAGGCAGGGGGCGTCTCTTCAGGGACCATGGTAGCTTACTAGAGAGATAGAATAAGACATCTGAGCTCTGGGTCAAGGACAGTGAAGGTCATGTGTCCCGCCTGGCACCCCACCTGCTAGGGGGCCCCATTCTGACTGTGGCCTCCTCAAGGGATCCGTGCCCTTCCCTCTCCAGATCTCATGCTAGAATTCTCTGCCTCAATGTCCCTGGCTTCCGGGACATCCCGCCAAGGGCCACTTGCATGCCCACACCATGGCCAAAGAGTGGCCAGGGGTGCCTGGGATGGGGGTGTGCGGGCTGGGGTATCCACAGGCAGGTGTGGGGCCTCTCGCAGTGCAGACCAGGTGGGGACAACAGGAGCAGGGGGACAGGCTGCCGGCAGGGGCCTTGGCTGGAATCCTGACCTGGGCTCAGCTCAAGCCTCAGTCGAGGAATTTTGGCTGTGCGTTGGGGAAAATAGTGCGTTTGGCTCCCATTCTCCATCTGATCTCCTCAGAACCACTCCAGGGAGCTTCTGTTACCATTTCTGCTCTACAAGCTACGAAAACAGGCTATGGTAATGGACTTGTCCAGGTCTGAAGCCCTGGGTGCTGTGCCCAGTGCTGCATCGCTGCCCGGTGCTGGGTCTCAGTCCGAGCTCAGGAAGCTGGGTCCTGCCCGGTGCACCCCCCGTGTCCCCTCCCCCACAGCCCGGAGGCCCTGCTGGGAGCCACATGGTGTCAGAGGCACAGAGAGGGTGCTCTCCGGTGGCTGCTCTCATTCCCAGGGCAAGGCGTCTGGGCAACAGGTGC